TAAGTTATAAAATTTATATTTTGTTTATTTAAATAAATATTATAAATTTAGTTTTTTTCGAATTAATTTGAAAATATGTAATAAATCGTATAATTATTGCATTTTTATATATTTCCTATTATTTATAAATTATTTAATTTATTTCGAATTAATTTGAATTAACCTGAAATATTTCGAATAGTATCTGATAAATTTGATTTGATTAGTCTTTCTTTCTCATTAGTAGTTATCTTTTAATTTATAAATATTTTGCCATTTTGAAGTATTTATGTCTATTTATATTGTTTCGAACTAATTCAAAATATTGTGCAATATATTACGTAATATTGTGCTATAAGATTCGTAATTTTGCGTAATATATTTCGTAATATTACGTTATATATTGTGCAATATTTTGCAACTTTTTGCACAATATTATGTCCAGACCGTAATTATTGCGCAATATTTCGAGGCGTAATAACTTACGTAAGATTACGTTAATATATTTCGCTGATGTTTAACCCTTTTTCTAATCTTATATAAGCCAAGATCATATTATATAAAAATGTTTTTTCAGTTCCTCCAGGTCTATCAATAAAAAATAATTTTTGATTTCTTTCTTCTTTAATTGCTTCTATAACAATATCAAATATTTTTTTTTGCTCAATATTTAATTTATCACGATCTTGTAATATTTTTTTAATTTCATCTTGGTTATAATTTTGTTCATCAGCAATTAAAAGTTGTTGTTGGTTTTTTTCTAATAAACTATAATTAGGTTTTGAAAGTTCTGAAAAATTAGAAAGACTTAATCTGTTTTGAATTAAATATTTTTCAATAAATACCAATAGTTTTGTAATATTTAATTCTTTACTATCTTCATTTTTATCATAATCTTTAGTTAATGCATCAAAATATTTATCCCAAAGATATTTTATATTTGCAGGTTAACAAAATACCAAAATAGAAGCAAATAATTGTTTTAATTGTGAAGGCATTTTAAATGTTTCTGCTTCAAATAAGCAAGAATCACATTTATTATCATTATTTACTAATCTATGTTGAATTGCTACTTCTTTATAAGTATTATATGTTATTTCTTCTATTGTTTTTATATCTTCAAATCCTTTAGCACCAGGAGTTATATTCAATAACATTCTTAAGTAAAATTTTTTTTCATCTTTTGGATTAACAAAATGTATTCAAGAAATTACTTTTTCACCACCTTTTTTTCTTTTTTGCCAATTATTATTTTTCCAAATATAATGTTTTGGAATATCTATATATTTTAAACTTTGAATCTCATTATTATTAAGATTATTATTACAAAGATCAAAATATCATGTCAACTTTGTATGTTTTCCTTTTTTAAGAGTTGTTGGTATATTACTATCTTCTTTAAAAAGAATATTTTGTTGACTATTTAAATGAACTGGAAGTCTTTCAACTTTATGAGATCTTTGTTATAAACCAAAATTAAATAATCTCCAGATTCCTTCAGAAGCAGAAACATATCTTGCATTTACAAATTTTTTAATTTCATTTTTTGGATTTATTAATGAAATTAAAATTCTATCTTCTCCTTTGTAAATATATTTATTTGTAAAGATATTTAATTGATTTAATACTTGAACATATCTCTACATTAATATAACAATTATACTTTTGACTAGGATATAGATTATAAGGAACAATTCATATATTGTCAATAGAAATTATTTTTCTTTCTATTTTTATTTTTATTATTTCTTCTTCTATATGTAGGATATCTAGATTTATTTGTTGTTGTTTTAGCAAATTCTTTTGGATAATGTTTACTACATTTTTCATTAATCATACATAGAGATAATGGATTTTTATCTTCGCAAGGTCTATGAATCATACTTTTACTAATTGTTTTAAATAATTTTGGTAGTTTATCTTTATTAGGTATTTTAGCAAATACTATTTGGTCAAAATCTTCTGGAGTTTTTGGTTTATCTTCAGGTGCCAATATCATTAAAATATGTGCATGTGGCAACCCTCTTTTTTGAAACTCAATTACATGTACATGAGCAATAACTTTTCCAAAAATGCCTCTTACAAATAAATCATAAGTTATTGCTTCTAATTTTAATTTGAAAACTCTTGCAATTAAATCTGGTCTATCAGAAGGTTTTTGATTTGATAAAAGTTCACTTATAATTTCAGGCCATTTTGGATTGCAAGTTACTGTAATAAATAAATCAGGTTTTCCAAATTTTCTAACAATTGCCATTGCATCTTGGTATAATTGTTGAAAATATCTTGTAGATCCTGTAAAACTTGATGACAATATTATTTGGTTACCAACTTGATTTAAATTAGCATCTTCATTATAAATCATATCATTTAATCTACGATATGTTTCAGTTCTTAATTTTGCTTGATTTTTATATTGCCAATTTAAATTATTTGTTTCCCATTTTACATATTGGTTTACTATATATTGTTGAAATAACCTTCCTGCACAATGTAATGTACTACTTGTTCTGTTTGAGTCTCTAATCATAAATCTATATACCGCAAACTCTCTAATAGTTACTATATTTCTTTTTTTTTTTTGTTGAATATTTGATGATTCTAAATCTTCTTTATCAGATTGTTCAGATTGTTTAGATTCTGAAGTAGTATTATTATCATTATCATTATTATTATTAGTATCACTATCATTATTTTCAAATTCAACAATTTCTTTATATTTTTCTTTATCTGTTTTTTTTTGCTAAGTTTTAGATATGCTACTATTATTATCATCCTTTTCTGATTCAGTTTGAGATTCAATATTATCTTTTTCTAATTCAGTTTAAAATTCAATTTCTTCTTCTATAATTTTTTCTTTACTAAGTTCACTAATACTCATACTTGTAGAAGATTTAAGAGCTATATTATCAAAACCACCTGATAAATCTGAACTTCTTTGTAATAAATTGTCAAATTCAATAGACATTGTTTTTGAAGAGTTATCAACTTCAATAATTTTTTTTTTGTTGAATTTCTTTTTGTTGACTTTTTTCTTGTTAAATATCTTCTTTAGCCTCTTGTATATAATTATTAATTCTTTGTTGCCAAAATTCACTTAATTGATCTTTAGTCATACCTGCAGTTAAATTTGAATTAAAATCTTTAATAATATTTGTAGCAACTTGATTAGCAATTTGATCTTCTTCATTTTCTTCAAATTGGTCAACAATTTCTTCTTCAATTATTTTAAAAAATTATTCTTGTATATCAATATCTTCATCTTCATCTTGTTTAATTTTTTTTTGTTGAACATTTGCTCTTAATATACCTTTATGCCAACCATATTCTCCAAATAGAAATAATATTGAATATTGTAAAGGATTATAAGCACCATGGAATTTTGATATTCTTATTAATGTATTATTATTTCTTTTAATAATAATATCTCTTTCATTTGGTTTCTCTTCATCACTTTTATAACTATATATTATAGCTACTTTATCTGCTTTTGGTACATTATAAGTTCTCATATCTTTACCATGAATATTATGTATTGCTATATATAATACTTCTGTATTTGATCTTTTTTCCTCAGTTCTTGCATATCTAAATGTTTGAACAAATGGATTATTATTAAACAATTCAAATTGAAGTTCATTTAATATATCCTTATTTAATAGTTTATTTTTATTTATTATTTCATGTCTTTTATTAAGTTGGCTATCGAAATTATCACTATCATAAAAATATATTTGAGCAAATTTTGGTTCAGGTTCTTTTCCTTTAAGTTTTTTAGGCATTAAAGAACTATGTTAATGATAATGTTGTTCTCGAATTTTATAAGTATAAACTCTTTTTTTAGCATTAGCAAGTTTTTTATCTAATATTGTACCACCAATTGATGTAAAAGCAAATATTTGATTATATGCTATTATTTTAAAAACAAAAAGTTTATTAAATTCTGGATCTTCTTCTGTAAATAAAATTTTAATTGCTGGTGGTGGTGGTTTAAGTTGTGCTAATTTTTTTTTTTTTTTTATATTGCCAACGTAGAAACTTTATTTTATTTAAAGGCTTTTCTCTAACGTATATACAATTTCTAATTACATTTGTGCTACTATTACTAGTTACCCAATGTGGCATTATACTCCTTAATTTCCCTATATTACTTTT